AAGGTGCTAAAGCCTGCACGACTGTCATCCTTCATGTCTGTCCTCCTTGTCATCTGTATTAACAAGAACTTGTTGTCGATCTGCTATTGGTAGGAATTTGAGACATTCAGTACGACTCACCTCTCTCAACAAAGGTTCCACCAGTTCGACCTCACTCGGGACAGAGCATGAAAACTATGATGAAATATTTTATGAGAATCATAAACAAAACAAACAAACAAAAAATCTTCCGTTTTTACTTCCTCTCACTCTACTCACAGTATGTTCTCTTCAGCAGATTCTGTGGCTCAAAAAGAGAAAAAAAAAAAAAAGAACTAACTAATGGAAGAATGAATACTCTGACTTTCAGTATTTTTTTTAAGATGTCTTTTTTTATTTTATTTTTTATTATCATCATAATCTTCTTTATATTACATTGGATTACATATAACTTTACAGTATATTACATTGCTTTTTCAAAAGGGAATGCCATGTATGTCAGTCAATACAGAGACATTAATCTCCCTGCTTCAACATTCAATATCTTTTCTATGTTTTCCCCACTCAGTATTATTATTATTCTAATTATTTTTTAAAACAGTCAATCGCTATTTCTCATTTTGCTTGTAGAAATACTTTGCCCATCGTGAAGTACTTCTCAGACCAATCCAGTTGAGAATACTATACATGTCAGAAGAACTGAATAATTACAAGTCATTCTGGGAATACACTGCATAAACTTATCACTTTACTGTAGAAAGATAAAATTGTACTTTATGAATATGGTGTTGATCATTAAGCTCTTCTAATTAATCAGTACTGAAGTAGGTTTTGAGGGAAAACCAGGGAATGTCCTCGTGTATTCTAGTCACCAAATCTTATTGATTTATTTTGGTCAACAGTAGACAGAATTCTAACTTGAAAGAGTCACAGTGAATGAATTATATTTCATATACTTATTTTTTTTTTGAGAGGTTTTTTTGCTATAGGGCACGTGCGCTCGCCAGACAGACAGAGAGAGACATAGAGACAGAAAGCGAGAAATCACCCCCCAGGGGGGATGGTCACGCCGCAATCCCTTCTCCTCCATTCTCCTCTGGGGATCTTGGGCAGGATCTTGGGCACGCACGCACACGCGCCTGGCATGAGTCTTAAGCCACCGGGTCCGGGACGCAAACCGCAGTCGACTATGTGGGAGTCCAGCCACATAGCCATTACGCTAACTGCTGGTTCCCTATATACTTACTTTTTATGTGTCCTCGTATCCTTCCTTCATTCTGTTTCCTATGTCAGTTTTCTGACATAAAATGAACTGGTTTCTAAGTCACAGGACGACCCCTGTTCCAACCTTCAGAACAGGAAGTCACCCTTAGGAATATCTACCAGAGAAGCCCTTGGCAATGTGACACCCTACACAGAATGGCTTGAATTTTAACAGTACTAACCCTAAAACATTGGATATAACAACATTTAATATATGAATGACAGCAATCAAATGATCATTTCTTAAATTATAAAATATTTGTTATTTAGAAAAACAAAAATATTTAGGGTAAGATTTTGTGAATTAAATATTTGGTCAGAAAAATATGTAAAGGAGAGGGTCTGGGCCTCTTAATAGAAAGAGAAATTTCTCAGTAGCTTTAAGTTGGCTTTAGAGGCAATTTCAACATTGAAGTCCCAAAATCTTGACCCAAAGGAGTAATTTTGGAATCAGAACAGAACTTCACAATGTCTCTTTTAAATAGCAACACTCACTTAAATATAATATTTTTTTAGTATAACTTTTACTAAGTTTGTATTTAAGACTCTAGTGAGCCCTTTAAAAAAACACTTCATTTTGGGACCAGCAGTTAGCATAACGGCTATGTCGCTGGACTCCCATATAGTTGACCGTGGTTCGAGTCCCAGATCTGACTTAAACTCACGCCGAGTGCGTGTGTGTGCATACCCAAGATCCTGAGAGGAGTATGGAGGAGAAGGGGTTGTGGCGTGGCCATCGCCCCTGGGGGGTGATTTCTCGCTTTCTGTCTCTCTGTCTCTCTCTTTCTGTCTGGCAAATGCATGCACCCTATAGCAAAAACCTCTCTCAAAACAAAACAAAACAAAAAAAACACTTCATTTTAATTTTCTCTTTTTCCTATTTATCATTTTAAGACACATGCTTTAATATTAATATAGTACTATATATTAAACAAATAACTGAAAATAGAAAATTCTAAGATATATATAAAGATATAATGGAGCAAAGAGAGAATAGTTTAGAAGTATTCAAAACCAAATCGCTGCTGTGTAATTCAATGATCATGACACAAAAGACAATAACAGACAATATGTTTTTAAGACATATTCGTAAAAGTAGGTTGATTTATGAGAAATGAGAAAATGAGAGTACAATTCTATGTAATTTTTAAGGAATCAATAGCAACCTTTTTCAAACCACCTCTAAAATTTCTTTATATTTTAATGTTGTGAGTTTCTTGACTTCAGTGAGTAACAATAAATTTGTCAGTCATGATGTTATTAAAATTAGGTCTGGAAAACTTATCTCCAACATTTTGAAAAACAGAAACTTGAGAGCTAAGACGCTATACAACCCAAATGTCTATGATTATTTCTCAAGGATTTTATTTTCATTTTTTACTGAAGAAAAAGAATACAACAGTATGGAACAGTCAAGTAAATCTCCAGTCTATCCTATATCCACTTCACACTTTTTAAATTGTGTTTCCACACATCTCAAAGAATGTTCATATCTAACAGTGATAGCTACAGTGTTCTGGTCTAAATACTAATTGTTAAGGGGAAAAAATGAAAGAGAGTGAGAGAAATCAAAAAAAATTCCAGTCTATCCTATATCCACTTCACACTTTTTAAATTGTGTTTCCACACATCTCAAAGAATGTTCATATCTAACAGTGATAGCTACAGTGTTCTAGTGAGCCCTTTAAAAAATACTAAATACTAATTGTTAAGGGGAAAAAATAAAAGAGAGTGAGAGAAATCAAAAAAATTCTTGCTTTTAGAGCCTACAATTCTTATGGAAAAATGGTTTCTAAATACATTAATAGTACGAAAACAAAATATAGGCTCATCATGATATATAAAAAATGCATTTATCAGGGTCAACAAGTGGTGTGGTAGTAGACCTGGTGGCTTAAAAACTACATTGAGCACTGTGTGTGCATGCCCAGAATCCCAGAACAGTGGAGGAGAAGGGATTATGGCATGGGTGTGAGTCCCCCTCCCAGAAGATGTTTTCTGACTTTCCCTTCTCACCATCTCTGGGTGCCCTATGGCAAAAACAAAAAGCATTTGTTTATTTATTCATTCATAGACTATTAATTCAGACGTTTGGCTGACAACAAAGATGAAACAGTTTCTTGACTCAGAAATCTTGAAGTATAGGGAGGAGCAGAAAAATGGACCACTGACATACAGAAAAGAGAAAGTTTAGACAAAGCCCTGTAATAAGCTCTATAGAAAAGCAGAGAAGGTGCTGGGGAACATTCCTGGCGATTTAATATCAAGGGGGAAAAGCAATTTTTTAAGATCATAAAATGTTCTAAGACTTACCCAGAAAATGGATGGTCTCCAACACTGACTCTAATGCAAGGAGGACGATATCGATATGCAGATCTTGACTCATTCAAACATGAAAGTTCGATCTGATAGACAGTCCTCTTGATCTAATGCAGACATGCGGCTGAAGAAAATACAATCAAACTAAGCTTTCGAAGACTCAGGTTGAGATAAAAACTATTTAATAAGATTTATTGTATCAGAGTAACTCCACAGGGCTGGTTAAAGTGATGAAAACATATTGGCATTGTTTGCTTTTGCAATCTTTTTCTAGTCCTTGAGGTCCCCTCCTCAGTCCTCTGACTTTTCCTTCTGAGTATTCTCAGTTCTCTGCATGGGAATTCCATCCAGGCATGCTTTTCCTTTTATGCCCAATAACTACTTTCTACCAACCACTGGTGAAATTGTTATTTCCTTAATGGAAATTAAGCCTGATATTTGGAGAAAAGTAATCTAATTTTTAAGCCATTCCATGCTAAAATGAAGGTGACTTTTCTGGAGGCTTAAAATATATCAAGAGTTGGTTGTATTTTAAAGAGGACATTTGTAGTCACAAATCCATTTCTAACTGAAACAATTACTCTAGGGAGACACAGCGACTACTGTAGGGAGGTGTTTTGTCTTCTGTAAACTCCTGAAGGATGGGGACAGCAGGGCAGGCCTCAGTCTGGCCTTGCAGTGGGACAGGTAGGAATGTCCATGAGAATCTCTTTGCATTTTATTTAAACTAGGTTTCATGCTTATGAAAAAACTATATAAATCTCTTTGTATCATTTTAAAAGATGTCTACATTTCCGACTCTGACCACTGGAAAGCCCCTTTTAGCTGTTGAGATCTAAACCATTTTTTAAGATGTTTTTCAAATGTCAGTTCCTCTTACAAAGTTATGGTTGCTCAATTGATCTGAAACTGATTACACTAACTTTGAAATATAGAAGGATAATTTTCACATTTTTGAATGTATTACCTTATATTCTGATTATTTATATACTTATATTTATCATATGCACAAAAGTTCTTGAAGGCATATACTTCAACTGACCCATCTTAACTTGCTCCCATCTCCGTCCATGTTTACGACAGGTGATTCACAAACATGTTAGTGAGCATGAGAAAGGAATGTTCATAATTATTCTAACTACTACGCCCATTTGTTGATAATAGCTCCAGTATTCTAGGGAAATTAGCATACAGCATAATCTGTCAAAATCTACTTCTGGTGGTCTTTGACTAGATGATAGAAAAGGGGAAAGAATTAAAATGAAAGGGAAAAGTACTTTTTTTATGACTGAGAAAGAAAAGGTCATTATGATCACTGAATTGCAGCTAAATTCTTATTTTTGATTCATTTTTTTCCTTTTTTACTTAACAGTTGAATAATCTTAAAAAAGAGAGAAGTCCAAAAGACAAGGTAAGGCCTTCCTTGTGATTAAATAAGTACCCTCGGTAAAGGAAATGCAGTATTTGTGTTCTGGCCAGAACATGATCAACTGTTACTAAAAAAAGGTGAGTAAGTTGTTAGCCATAGATGCAGACTTGAGAAGACTAGTGTTCCGAAACCAGGATTTGAGATGGGATGGCAACAAGTGGAAGTCATATGTTGTTTGACAGTATATGAAATTTTATTTTATCTCTTACATCTCAGCCAAAAAAGTGACGACTGTGTTTGACAGCTTTCATTGATCTCATAAAAGAAGATTAATGTATCTTCCATCTCTTGTGTATGTGATTATTTAGAAATTAAACACTTTTGGCAATATTATGGAAATAGTAAAAGTAAAAATCTAAATGAGAGGAATAAAGGATTAATAATATTTTATTAATTGTAGTGGGCTTTTAAGCATCAAATTACAAAACTTTGTTTTATTCTACTTAAAGGATAAGACAAAATATCTTCAGTGAAGGCCAAACAGGTACAATTGTCTTCACCAGTTTGAAAATTTGCTGTTTAGTGCCCAGAGACACAACAATCTATGGATGAGATTCTAAACCTCAATATTGGTTTTAAAGAGCATCAAACTGAGAATGGACAAGGTAAGTTAATCCCTAGATAATTGCCAAATCACTGAAACAATTTTCAAATTGTACTCAACAGTTTTTCAACCCTATCTAACAACATGGTTTTCTGTTTGGCAATAAGTGTTTATCTTTTCTAATATCAATCAGTTAGTTCCATATAATCATCTAACGTTGCACTTTTATGCTTTAAAGAGAGTTCAAAACCCAATAAGATCTTTTAATGTTTAAGAATTTTAATTTTGGTCCAATAGGTGGTTAAGATACAGGACTCTTACATGTCTACTGTGATTCATGTCCTGGACATGATGGCTTGAAAATTACATCCGGCATGTGTCCGTGCATGTCCAAAATCCCAAGAGGGAAACAGAGGAGGAGGGATTGCAGGGTGGACACTGCCCGTGGGGATGTTTCCTCACTTTCCCTCTCTCCCTCTGGTGAGTTATGCACGCCTAATGGCAATAGATAAATAAATAAATAAATAAATAAATAAATAAAAATTTAAAAAGATCTTTAATCTAGTTTTTACACATGTACACTTAAAAGTTTTCTATATGATGCACACTGTTTCCTAGGCACTGAGTTAATAATCACAATATTAATTTCTGAAAAGGCGTATCTCTACACCTATGCTACAATTTCTCCACTATAACAGCTTGCAAATTATGAAATAAATGAGTTTGTGTATAATGTAATATCTGCTACTGTCTCCTAGAATTTCATTTCAATTAAGAATATTAAAATTAATAATGGCTTACTTTTATATCTTTACATAATGATTACATAGTTTTAGATAGTCATCTAAGTATTTTACATATATTAGCCAAGTAGTACTTATAAATTCTCTCTGAGGTCATTATTATTTCCACTTTATGAATAGAAGAGCTAGAATTAGTTCAAACCAGAAAGTTGGTCGCTGAATCTGGTTAGCATCAACAGCACCCACGCCTCCTGCATTCTGGATCGAGCAGTAGCTTCTACAGTGATTATATGGTGTGATTATCTCTCCCCCTCACCATGGAATACCATGTGATTAAGAAGTCATTTATGATTGAGGGGCCGGCAGGGTACTGAACTCCCACAAGGCTGACTGTGGTTTGAGTCCCGCACCCGGAGGCTTGCTTTCTCACTCACTCTCTCTGTCTTTCTCCGGTCAAACTGAAATAAATAAAGTTAAATAAAATAATTCTTAGAAAATGAAGTCATTTATGATTGAAAAATACTTTCTTTAGCATGTATTTCCTTTCAGTCAACAAAATAAGGGAGCCATGTCTATTATTAAAGCCTTATCTAGCAAAGAGTTTAAAATGAAATATTCATTGAATATATTCAAGCAAAATTGAGGAGTCCCCACTGGGTGAAAAGACTATGCTGCAGACTAGAGATGAAGTATAAATCTCTCACATCAAGATAATTACAGTCTACTAGTCCTTTAAAAAATATCCACACATAGAGCAAACATTTTGCAATGTCTCTTTGTTTAAATAAATAAATTTCTGGAAATCTTCGGCAAGGTCTATTATGCACCTGCCAATGTATTTCCCTGGCAACATAATGCATTCAAGTTTGTGGCCATATGTTTATTACATATTATTTTAGCCATTTTTATAGAGGCAACAGGCTGATAATGTTTCCCCAGAGAGCATGACTTTTGAACGTTGCTACTAAGGACACTTACATATCATTAGAATTAATATCTTTTTGTAAAGTTCTCTACTGACTGTAACAAATTCTAAACAATGCCGGATAAACTCAGCAAGATTTGCTTTCCTCATAATACCTGCTCCATCTCCACTGTTTTATTTGTTAACCTTTATTTTTCTCCCTTTTCATCTTGTAGGTATTAGGGGAGATCACTATGCCTAGCCCACACTTAAGACATGGGGAGTCAGGATCTTTGATAGTGGAACATCTACATAAATTATTTGGAGATCTTCATCAAAGAATAAATCTCCTCCACTTATTTATGTAGTCTATAATTTATGTATATCACTATGAACTCATAAATATTCATTTTGCATTTTGGGTTACAATCCAAAATTTATTAATTTTCTTCTTGAATTATTTCAGCTGTGGCCATTAGGAGTCTTCAGTTGTCTACTACACTCTTTGACTTACTGCACCAAAATGTGGCACAATATGAAAAAAAAATTGTCTTATTTGATCTCATGATGTAAATACAGTAACTACTACATTTATAGAGCATTCATATTCACAAAATACTTTTTTTTTTGTATGACCTCACTTCAAATCATAGAGAAGGGGGATGTTCTAATAAATATTTGAAATAGATTTAAAAATTTCAGTCCAGAAGATTAGGTGAGTCATCTCTAATCATGCACTGAAACCAGAGGCAGCATGAATTTTAAGGCATTTTTTGATCAGATAGCTTTCCCCACTATTTTATGTGAAAGAACCTAGAAATAAAAGAAAATCAATCCTACATTCTCTTTGATTGTTATTAGATAAACTATTTTCTAAATGTTTTCATGTTACTTCTCAAAGCAATGTTGGACATGAAGTTTATGGCAGTTACAGCATTAGACAAAAAAAGCAAATATCGTGTGGTATTTTAGCTGTATCAAAGATACTAATCAACATTATTGGTGCTATACCATATTAAAAATAAAAAATCTGAGATGACTAAAAATTTCAACTTCCTTATTATGGAATATATCCCTTCTACTGAAATATCTTCTGTATCCAAAATGAGGCCATTTTACCCATTAGTGAGGAAAAAAATCCATTTTGCATTATATATTTTTTTTGTTCATTTTCATCTCAGAGCAATAATACAAATCTTGGCCCATGGCATTTCCTGCGGCTTAATAACCAGCTGGACCTCAAGCCATCACCTCCTCTCCGGCAACCATTAGTTCCCAGGAAACACTCTTCGCCTTGATCATTATTGCATAATTAAAACCATTTTGTGTTCCTTTAATGTAACATATCAATTATTGAGGAGAAATATAATACTGGGGAAAAAAGTGATGACATTGCTTTATATAAAAAAAGAAGAAAAAAGAAATGAGCAGTCCTGGGAGTTTATTTTAATAACTGTCCTTCAAAAGGAAACCAATATGCAAAGTAAGTTGCTAAAACAGTTATTTCAGTAGTTTCGCTTGCAGATCAGTTGACAAAATAGGTTAAAACCAAAGAATACAACAAAAGAAATGCTGGTCTTCAAATAAATTTTACAAAATGTGCCTGCTCCTACACCTTTGCACATACAAGCTTCAGTGTTTGAGTATAATCCCAAATCCATGTTAAGCGGACAAGCTGAGCTGAGAAAATATGCACATGAAATACTGAGCTCTTGTAGTGAAAAGAGTCAAAATATAGCCTTTCTCCTCTGATTCCCTCTGTGTTATAATCAATGTATTTATTTTGCATTAAGAAGGGTGGGCAGAGAAAAGGGACCCTAGGTACCCACTCACAAGTCTTTCAGCCATCTCTATTGATTCACCCCAGCTCCAAACCAGAGGATGACAGAGAAAAAGAGGGTGAAATAGAGGCAATTAAATCAATTTAATAATATTCTTGAGCAAGCAAAGGACATTCTTTTTCGTACAGGAAATGTTCCTGATAATTCTTTTATTGTGCAGCTCTGAGGTGGCCACCATTCTCTCTCACAGGATATTGGAAATCACCTCACTCGGGGTGCTTCCTCCCCCTTCCAGCTAACAAGAGAATACAGTGGGAACTGAGATGTCCTGGTGTAGGCCAGAAGGTGAGGGGTCGTGCAATGAAATAACACAAGAGAGCAAGAGAGCGAGCAGTGGAGTCGGAGAGAGTAGCACAACTCATTCTCCTATTTATAAAGGGAGGCATACTTCAAATGAACAATCTTGTCAAATGATCATTTCATGACTTAATTTCGGCACTATGCAGAGTTTAAACTATGTGTGTTTATATTTAAAATTCACACTCATAAAAATAAAAATTCTGGGATATTTACTTTGAGTCACTCTGAAAAAAAAGAGAGAGAGAGAGATTCTGGAACAGTGGTGTAAACATGCTTCCCACAAAACAGAGCTAGTGAAAATTCCATGGACTTTTTGTACTGGTGGTATTTTCTCATTACCGGCTCAGGTCGGGTTACATTCTAGGCACTGTGGGCCATTTCAGATTGCATACGCATGTATTCTGGTAGCTGAGTGTTGCAAACGTGTAAAAATTGGTTTCTGACTTCACAATGCCAGAAATTTCATAGAAAATAATACGAAACTTTAAATATGATTATATTCTACTTATGCCTCTGTCAGGTGATAACCAAGTAACAGCAGCTGTTACCTAGGGAGAGGGTGCCTCTGTTCACTGTTATCCTCTCTACTCCCTTTTGTCTTTCTAGACTCCAGAGGGCCAAATTCATTCATTTATATTAGAGCTGGCCATCAAATATGTCTACTGAAAACCGTTAGAGTTTTGTTAGTAGAGTAGGTAGTTTTGTGAAACATCAGGGCAGTGAAGTCTATTAAACTTTGGATTCTTTGATTGATATTTAACTTTTATAATTTCAGCACAACACATTACCTTATGGATCATAACAAATGTGTGAAAAATAAATAGACTACAATTTATTTTTAAATATTTTGTTGATAGGTTATTGAAAGCTTATTGAAAGTCTTTGGAGAGGCCAGCAGTTGGCGTAATGGCTATGTCGCTGGACTTCCACCAGATCTGTTGACTTAAACTCATACCAGGCACATGTGTGTGCGTGCCCAAGATCCTGAGAGGAGAAGGGAGGAGAAGGGATTGCGGTGTGGCCATCCCCTCTGAGGGGTGATTTCTCACTTTCTGTCTCTCTGTCTCTCTCTGACTTTCTGGCGAGCACACGCGCCCTATAGCAAAAACCTCTCCAAAAAAAGAGTCTTTTGGGTATTAATAAATGAGCTATTAAAAGTACCAGATAATAATAAATATTCACTTATTCTTTATAGATTTGCAACATGGATCCTTCAAAACTTGTGTGCCCAGTGATTAGCAAAACCTAAGTATAGGAGGGTGGTCACACACTTCTCCATCTCTGGTTTAATCAGATTCCACCCAGTCAGTTGTAGATGATGATGGAGTTTTCCTTGGCCTTTAGTTTTTTCCAGATATAACTGCAGCAGGTAAGTTTCTTTGTCTTCTTACACGTCAAAATCAGAACCTCAATACCCATAGTCTATGTCCTAAGATAGCAGAATAATCTACAGCACATAAGACTGAATACATCATGTTGTCAATACTTGCTACTTGATTAAATGATCAATGATTATAATCATAATCTCCTCATACATTTATATGTTCCAAGTCTAGACAATATGTGACATATACCTTCCAGGTTATCAAGTTCATATGTTTAGCAAATAATATAGATATATTTATCTATATGGCTATGATAAGGCTAGATATCGCTAGATCAAGATGGATTACACAGAAACTATGTACATTGTGATCACCAACACATATTGCTTAGTACTTGTGTGTTTTTGTTAACCCATTGTCAGAAGCTTATTATGAAGTTAGACCATCCCTCTATCCTCTGGTACATCCAGGCTTCTCCTCTGAAACTTCCTTAGCTTGTTATTGGTGATTCTTCCACTTCAACACCTGACCACCCCCAACTCCTTGGGTCTCTATCTCAATGTCTTTCCTGGCTTCGACACAAATCTCACCATGATTTTACATAGTCAGCTGTGGTCAAGAAATAGAAAAACAGACTTATGAGATAGCACTGTATTCCTCCAAAAAGCACAGACCTGCAAGCTCAAAATTCTTCCATCATTGTGATGGTTGAGTTCTAGATCCAGAACTTTAGAGTCAGCAGGTGACATAAAGGTTAAGGCGCTGGATCTCAGATGGGTGAACATGCTTTGAGAACAGATGCAGCGGCTTGGAAATCATGCCAGATGCATGTGTGTGCATGTCTAGGACCCCAAGAAGAGACCGAAAGAGAAGTGATTTGGGTGTGGCCATTCCCTAGAAGGGAGACTTCCCACTTCCTCTCTATTTCTGTGAACACATGTGCCCTACAGAAAAAAAAAAAGAAATCCAGAAACTTTTAAAGACAATTAAGAAAATCAACTGAAAAGATTGGTACTTGAGATGGTGCTATTACTTTCTCCCTCTTCATTTGAAATACTGCACTACAATATTTGCATATAAAAAGATAATTTTATGAGGAGGATGAAGACATATCCCTTTACTACTTATCTCCTAAAATTTGAGACTTGAAACTAAGCTCTCCAATTGTGTTCTCCCAAAGGCTTATGTGTAACATGCTGTGAGTTGAATAGTGCAGAGAGCTTACAACAAATTCCCATTGGAAAAAGCTTTTCTAATAAAATTAAATGGCATAGCACTTTCTATCTAAAATACGCACTGAACATATTTCAACATAAAGGGAGGGAGTACGCTATTATGAATATTGACTAGCTAGTTTAAAATTGGAATTTAAAAATATTAAAATTGGAATTTAAAAGTATGTACACAATATCAGGAGTTGAAATACATTTAAGTGAGATGTATTTTCCGTGAGATAAAAATGGCTGTTTCTTGCACCTAAACATCATTTACTCTGCTTTAGTGGTTATTGATCTCATCATCAGTGTTGGTCAGTTACATTACAGCTGCAGCCGAGTTAGGGTGATTCATAAAGGAGTCATAATTGGAAGACAATGAGCTTTCCAGATATTCAATGAGATGCTTTGTATTTGGCAAAACAGACGGTATTTCCTGAGTTTGATTGTAATAATCCTTTTGTGTAACTATTGATTTTCTAGTAATTCTAATCTAGCCTTGTTTATTAGCAAGGAAAAGCATTTGCCATTCTTTTATGTGAGGATAAAAAAAGAAAAGAAAACTGCTGTTGAAAGCAGGTCCCGTCAAACTGCAGTGAAATGTGAGCTAGTAAAAGTCTAGCCATCTGACAACCCACCACATAAAACGGCCTTTTAACATTTTTGCTTTGCTCACACAGCTTGGAGAGGTGTTTGAACATCCTGGTACCAGGCTGAGTAAAAAGCCGCATAAGCTGGAGAAGGCTCTGATTGGTCAGTCTTCCACACCACTTCGTTGGTGCCATCCCTGCTCCCAATGTTAAATGGTTAGAATAGCATTCTGCTTTTAAAGACTCATCTACATGGAAAACAAACAAATAAACAAAAGAACAAGGAAGCAGGGTTCGTGCACTTTCATCTCTCTCCTGAACTGTGGGAAGGACCTCCTCCCTTTCCTCTTCTCATTCTCTCTGGGCCCCTTCATGCTGCCTTCGGAGATCATTTCAAATTGTAAACATGATCTTGTCACCAGTACTCCACATGGATCCCTTCAATGGCTTCCTGACTCCTTTTGGACAAATTCCAGCCTCCATGTGTCACTGAGGTACACTTTCTTACCATCCTCTCACGCTGCCGGCATCCGCTCTCTGGTCGGTGCGGACTTCTGCTTCCTCACTGACAGGTCAAGGCTTTCCACTGACATCTGAGCCCGAAGACGGCCCCATACTCAACAAGCCCAGGTGTTCATCTCTGCTGCTGATTTCTTTCAGTTCAGTCAATAATTCTTTGGAAAGTTTTCCCTGATCCTCTGGCTTCAGCCAGTTCTATTGACATGTCTCTTCCCTTTAGAAGAAAAATGTCATTTTAATCAACTCTATTGTACATTAATGATTGTGATTATTTCATTAATACCATCATCTCATATAGCACTATAAGCTTTATGTGAGCAAGGGCCTTAAAATGTATGAATAGCTATTGTTTTTGTATATTTGATATTTATTTATCTTTTAGAGAGATTTTTTGCTATAGGGTGCACGTTCTCGCCAGAAAGACAGAGAACTCATCCCCCAGGGAGGATGGCCATGCTGCAATCTCTTCTCTTCTATTCTCCTGTTGGGATTTTGGGCACACACACACACACACGCCCAGTGTGAGTTTTAAGAGATTGGGTCCGGGACTTAAACTGAGTCCAGCAACGAACTATTACACCATCTGCTGGTCCCAGTTAATTAATTTATTTTTTTGAAAGAAGCATCCCAACAAAGTCCTTATGCTGGGATCCACCCCAGCCCCAAGCAGCCAGCATCATAGGCCCATGCATGGGGGCCCAGCATGCCCAGGGAGAACTTTGGATAAAATCCTGGAGCCTTCCCACGTGGTCTCAGCTTTGCAGAAAGTTGTGCCACCACAGCGGACCATTTCCAATGACCTTCATTATAAACTCAGAATCCAAGACAGTGTTTACATGGGATGGGTATTTAATAAATACATTTGCCTTCACGAGTCAGCAGGACTGTGTACCATCTTAATACTTTTCCAAGGCAAATTTTCCTTATACAGATTTTAAGTAGTGACATTGTTGGATGTTTTGTTCAGCTACACGTATTCATTTAAGATTTTATATAAAATCAGATAAATCATTGGATTTATGAATAATCAACAGAGCAGGATAAATACAGTGGTTCCTAAGAAATACCTTTTACCACCAAAAAATTAATGATAATAATGTATAAATCAGGTTGATTATACAAGATTTCAATTTACATTTAATTTTAAACTATGATAAGGATACATTCTAAAGTGCTAAAGAGACATTCAGATATAGATATTTTCAAAGCTCCTGTAGTACAAAGTTTGATCTTAGAAATTGCTAACCATCTCTGAAATGTAATCAGAAAAGTACAGTGTAATAATAGTCTTTTTTCTTTTTCTGGAGAGGTTTTTGCTATAGGGCACATGCGCTCACTAGACAGACAGAGAGAGACAGAAAGCAAGAAATCACCTCCCAGAGGGGATGGCCATGTCGCAATCCCTTCTCCTCCATTCACCTCTTGGTATCTTGGGCACGCACGCACACGCGCCCGGCGTGAGTTTTAAGCCACTGGGTCCGGGATGCAAACCACGGTCGACTATGTGGGAGTCCAGCAACTTAGCCATTACACTAACTGCTGGTGCCTTTTTTTTTCCAGTTTAATAATAGTCTTAAAAAAAAAAAAGAGCAGTTTTGGGGCAGTGGACTCCCACAACACTGCAGTTCGAGTCCCAGACCCAATGGCTTGCTTTCTCACTCTCTCTCTTTCTTTCTCTTTTTTCCTCTCTCCTCCCATCTCTCTCTCTCTGGTGAATTAAAAATAATAAGAAGAAATAAAATTAAATGAATAATTCTTAAAAATATAGCAAGTTTATGCCTCAAAATCCTTAATAGAGCACTACAGTAGCCCTTTAAACCAACTACAATAGTGATTATATACTATTGTTATTGGGTTAAACTGGACAGTGAGTATAAATGAGTTCATGGAAGTGTACTATGTTAAGGTAACATTGTTTTTTGTTTTTCAGACACTATAAGTAGAATTTTAAAAATTATTCTTACTGTGTATGTTAAAACAACTAAGGAAAAGAAAAATGTCAGTTTTGTGTGGTCATATGAGCTAAATTTAATCTGTTGTTTTATATGAAAAAAATAATTTTGAATAAACAACAAACCTGAAGACATACACGTTTGCATGGACAAAATCGTGCCATTTATTGAATTCTTGGTCAAGATTCAAAATACCACTCTTTTGGATTACTTTTTTTATGTGAAGAATTTCATTCAAATTGTAAACTGTTTTTTGGCTTTTTATTGAAAATACGCATGCACACACATTCATGAAGAGAAGAGAAATGGTGAGTGTTCCCATTTGAGTGAGAACCACCCAGTGCAGGTAGCTGCTGTGAGCTTTGCAATTACAATTTGGGCCTGACATATGAGATGGAAAATATTGAGGGCATTATTTCTGGCTTTCTTTCTCTCTGTGTCTCTCCAGTGACCACATCCTATAGCAAAAAAAATTTCTCTCTCTCTCTCTTTCTCTGTCTCTCTATATATGGCATTAAAGTGCCGCCATGCCTAGTCTGTGCTGGCTCGGCTTTGACTCCTTCCCCCAGAAAATGCCATGTAACCCACAAAAAAAAACGAGTCTGATTTTTGTATCCTCAGCCAAAACGGGGTGACTTCCCATAAGTTCAGTAAGTTTCCCAGATCCAAATACATTTTTGAGGCACTATTTAACATTCTAAAGGATGGAAAAAGTAAGACCACCATCCTTTGCTGTTCTGTTACTTTTCTTGAACTGAGACAATTTTTCAAAAGAATGAGTCCTCATAAAGTGTCACACTTAAAAAATAGTCTTGGGGATCTGTGAATGGTGTAATGATTAGGTCGCTGCACAGAGTGGACCCCGGTTTGAGTCCAGGACCCGGTGGCTTAAAACTCATGCCAGGCTCAAATGAGTACATGCCCAAAATCCCAAAAGGATTATGGAGAAGGGATTGCGGTGTGGCCATCTCCCTGGGGTGTAATTTCTCAATTTCTGTCTCTCTGTCTCTCTGGTGAGTGCACGTGCCCTATAGTACACAGCTCTCTCTAATAGAAAAAGGTTTTAGCCCAGCAGATGACATCATGGTTACACGGCTAGACTCCCACATGACCCACAGCGGTTCAAGTTCTGGACCTAGTGGCTGGAAACTCACACTGGGCACATGTGCCTGCATGCCCAAAATCCAGAGGGAAGAATGGAGGAAAATGGATTGTAGTGTGGTCATCCTCCTGGGGGTGGAATTTTACTTCCTACCTCTGTCTCTCTGCAAGTGCATGCACCCTATAGCAAATATACCTCTCTAAAAACATAAATAAAAAATAATAGTTTTCAAAATAGAACGAAATGTTCTGTCTCTGAATTCTCTTCTGACATTATCAGCATGAAATCAGAAGTGATGCTATTCTCAAGACTGACTT